AAAAATTCTCTCTCTAAGATGAAGACAAACGGGAAGTGAAAATAAGTTTATAAATGTGATTAATGAATAATTTTTTGAATTAAATTAATTGAATAATCTATTTTAAATATACAGTAATACATTTATAAAGATGTACACAACAATGTGCTATTATTAAAGAATAAAACAATATTTTATCATTCAGTTGAATGAATACCGATTTGAATAATTTAACTTAATATCAGGAATGCCATGAGAAATTCAGACAAAACACATTCAAACAAATTCAAAACACAAAAGATTAAATTCAATTACATTTTCAATTTGAACACACACACACGCACGCATGCACGCACACACCACAGGCACTCTTCATGTGCCGGACTGCCTTCATGGTTGTGGTTTTGGAGTCCTTTCCACCCCTGAGGACAGTTTGCAGTTTGCCACAGCGGCAGGGGTTGCGGGTTTTCTGGGAAATCTGACAGAATCCCTTGTCAGAAGGAGTTTCAACTCCCATCTCTGGCAAAACATCGTCCACATCCCGGGGGAGGTGACGAACATTGAGCCTGAGTGGACCATGTTCCAAGCCTCCATTTTTTGTGGCGGCTGACTGGAGCTGTGGCGGTAAGGTGGTTGGTGCCTGTCTTCGAGGCAAACCCCAAACCTTTTGGCGGACACCAGTGGTGAGGGATGCCGTCAAGCTGAAGGAGTCCAATCAGGCTTTTTTTTTGTACGTGAGACTTCGTAGGCAGCTGATGGGTACTGAATGGCCAAGCAGAATGCAGCCCTGGTGGTCACTGAGGCAAAAATTCCAGCATAGGAGGCGTATTCAAAGAAATTCTGGTCCACCATCCGGTGTCTTCGGAGGGGGAAGCGGTCTGCAGTCAACATTGTGTGTAGTAGGGATGGGGTGGTGATTACCTCGATACGTGACGATGTGAATCGGTAGAGAGAATACTTTGAAGACCTCCTCAACTCCACCGACATCCCTTCCCTTCAGGAATCGGCATCTGGGGTCTCTGAACGGGGGCTTTCCTATCACTCGGTTCAATGGACCAGTTCACAGCCGAGTGAGAAGCAGTTGGGATGAAAATCAGGACCTCTAGATCTGAGACCATGGTCCTCAGTTAGAAAAGGGTGGAGTGCCCTCTCCAGGTCAGGAATGAAATCCTGCCCCAAGTGGAGGAGTTCAAGTATGTTGGAGTCTTGTTCACTCGTGAGGGGAAGATGGAGCGGAGAGATCGACAGGCGGATTGGTGCAGCATCTGCAGTGCTGCGGACTCTGCATCGGTCCATTGTGATGAAGGGGCAGCTGAGCTGGAATTAGAAGCTCTCGATCGATGATCCCAGCCTCATCTATGGTCATGAGCTCTCCACCTTACCAACAAGCCTTGACAATAAAAGATACTCGTGATGGGTCCGGCAACAGCCCCCAACCCCACTATACACAGTGTTACCTGTGCACTACTTCCCCCTCGTGAGACACTGGATGGTGGACCAGATTTTCCTCTAAACCGTCTGGAAGTCGGTTTCACAACTTCACTGAATTCCTCCCATTCCTGAGTTTTTGCCTCAGGAACCGCCAGAACTGCTTTCCGCTTGGCCTGCCAGTACTCGTCAGCTCCCTCCGGCGTCCGACGGGCCAAAGCAGCCTGATAGTACTACTTCTTGAGCTTGATGGTATCCGTTACCGCCGGTGTCCACCAGCGGGTTCCAGGTTTGTTGCCGACAGGCACCGACCACCTTATGGCCACAACTCAAATTTTGAGCGATTTTGATGGCTTTTCTTGACTTTGTGTTCATTATTGGGGATCGCAATTTCAGGATATCCTGGACTTCATCAGGTGGGAAAAGTGGAAGGTCTCAAACTGCTCAAGTCAGTCACTAGACCCTAATCCAATAGAGTCTTCATTTTACCTGCTGAAGAGGAGACTGAAGGGAGAAAACCCCCAAAACAAAACAAACTTAAAAAAGCTGCAATAAAGTCCCCGAAAAGCATTTGAAAAGAAGAATACAACAGTCTGGTGAAGTCACCGGGTCGTATGCTTGATGCAATTATTGCAAGTGAGGGTTGTGCTCCTAAATATTAAATATATTCACTTTAAGTCAATTGGAAAATGACTGTTCCAATGCTTTTGCTCAAGTGGGTAGCTTCATACAAAAGGTGCTCTGTCCTAACTTCTTAAACACATCTAGAGGTAAATACAGTGGTACCTCTACTTACGAAATTAATTGGTTCCGGAAGAAATTTCTTAACTAGAAAATTTTGTAAGTAGAGACGCGTTTTCCATGTAAATGCCCTAAATCCGTTCCAAGCCCCCAAAATTCAGACATAAGTGTTTTCTAAAGCATAAACATGCATCAAAATATATAACAACTACATTTTACTAATTAAATTATTGCACAATAAATGAGAGTTGTGCATAATGTAAAAAACAAAGAATAGAGTAAACAATAAAGTGATGGTCATTTAACTTTTAACTCTGTCCTCATAATTTTTTTTGTCCTCTTTAGTTCATGTTCTCTCTCAGAAGTTGTTTTTGCCTGGCATTTTGTAAAGAACTGAGCAAAGGACATCTGCTTTTGTCGGATTTTAACAATCCTTTGAAAATGTCCAAGGCAAACATCAGCAGAGTGAGCGATTGCCCAACTGGTGAACACTTTTTCTGGGGATTCACATTTATGTAAAACTATTGGAACGCCTTATGGTCCGCAGGGGCGGATGACGAGAAAGCTGCATAAACACACATCTATCTATCGACACACAGACACATACGGTAGAGGTCCCTCTTAGCCAATGAGATGCCAGGATGATGTTCGGGAATAGCCAATGGCAGAGGAGCTATAAGTATGTTGCGTTCAAGAAACTTGGAGCTGCGAATGGTAACCCATACTATATTTTTACCTTTCGCATCTTGAAATTTCTTTTGTAACGAGAGGCAATGTTTTCCTGTTGAGGCATTTCGTAACTTGAGAATTTCGTATGAAGAGACGTATGTAAGTACAGGTACCACTGTACTAGTGTTGAGTGAGTATACGAACTGTCTGTATCTGTTCACCCATCTGAAATATCTGAATCTGTATCTGCCCTCAGAGTGGCTGGAGCATAAACCGGAAGTTGGCATGGGTCAACCGGAAATGTTCGGGGGTTTAAATCAGTACATTAGATTCAGTCTGAAATTGACATGGATTGATCAAGAGAAGCTGTATTTATTTATTTAAAAACTATTTATAGAACATCCTCAAAATTGAGATTCAACATGTTTTGGATCACAAAAGTTAAAGAAACACTCAAGCAACTTGTTTTTATTACTTTATTTTAATGTTCTTAACTGTATGGATAAATATTTCCAGCATAGTCTCAAAATTGAGTTTTTTTCATTGTAAAATTACATGAACAATTTAAGAACAAGTTTATTTTTTTTTTTATAAAGTCAAAACATGAATACTTTTAAGTTTATGAGTGAGTGAATACAATGCACACACACAAAAAAAAATCATAAACAGGCAGTGAATGATGCAACACGAGCTGTTTACAGCTGTCTTGTTAAGTTAAATGCACCATGTACATAACAAAACAAGTTTACCAAGTACCTTTGGATACAAACCTGAATAAAAAAAAAAATCTGGAGTGGAGTCAGAGACCAACACAACATGAGTCGTTTTCAACTGTTGCCAATTGCAGGGCATACATTATGAAACAAGTTTACCAACTAGCTTTAATTGACTGGCCAATCCACAGAGCTTGAAGAGGGAGTACATCAGTAGTTACCCAGTGAAAATTTTCCTTCAGCATGAGTACAGATAATGATGAGCTGTCCTCCTTTCATGCTCGTACTTTGCAAAAATGCATTGTCCATAACAGACCCTCGTCTAAAATGAATATCCAGCTCAGATCAAGGTAAATACCATGAAATAAAATTTGGCATTCTGACTTTGCCATTACAATACTCATGGAGGGGACTGTATATTATGCACACAATACTACCAGAATACTGTTCGGCCCCCTTTGTATGTAACTATTTCAGCTCTGGAATTGTGATACTGAAGGAATAATGGATTCTTTTTCAAAATCTCAGAGGCCATGGATTAAAAGATTTTATTTTGCTTTCACTCTTTTTTTCTTAGGCAAGACCACCGGTGCAAGAGCTTCAAATGGTTCATGGAGGAGATCGCTTATGACATTCCGTTGTACTATCCTCTGCCTCCAAAAAATGTTGAATGGGGAGAGGTGAGTAAATGAAACAGCACAACAAACAAATGCAGGAAATGAACATAAAGTGTCACTTATTTGCATGCATGTCTGTTTGTGTGAAGATTCGGGGCTTTGAGACGAGTTACTGTATTGACAGTATGGGACACACAAATGGGGGGAATGTGGAAACTGGACCATGCCACAGAATGGGTGGCAATCAGGTAAATATAACATCTCAGTAGCTCTCAATTTCTGCCCTGTCAAAAACTAAATCCACACGTGGTCACACATTTGCATGCATGCATTAATTCTGGAATCAATAAGTAATCTATTAACAAGTGACAAAGGCAAAGATCAAAGATTATGCCCATCGTTTGTCCAACCCTGGACCAAAAATGTTGAATGTTGCCTGTTGGTGGATGATCATTGTTTAATTTTTGAGAAAAGAAGGCAGATCATAGATTTTCCACAAAGCAGTTTTTGTTCAAAATGCCAACTTTCTTGAAGAAACGCACAAAAAAAATATACAGTCAAACCTCGGTTTTCGAACGTCTCTGTTCTCGACCAAATTGGTTTTCGACCGAAAATTTCGAGTTTTTTATGCCTCGGATTACGACCGAAAATCGGTTCTCGACCAAACTGAGCTCACTTGAATGCGCCACTTGACTCCTCTCGCCTTCCTTACACAAGGTAGTGACGCTTCCTCGGATACACGAGGAAGTGACGCTTCCTCGTGTAGCGTTCCATTGTGAGTAGACGTGTTCAATAAAGATTTTTTTTTTAAAGAGCGTGGTTTCGGTTTTAGAACAAATCGGTTTTCAAACGGCCTTCTGGAACGGATTATGGTCGAAAACCGAGGTATGACTGTACCTGCAAGCAGCTACAACAGGCCCTCGCTGCAATGGCCAAATTGCCACAGTACATTGAAATCAGTCTAATGTAAATGTATTTTTATTTATTTTTTTTTTTTAATAGTCCTGATTTGTGTGAAAATGTTACTGTTTTTACACGTGTTGAGACCCGCATCTGTGGCCACTTAAAATCTGTAGCAGGAGTTCAATGATACAATACAAAATTGATATTTTTGCTGTCCCTCTTGTGTGCAAAGTTTCACATTTTCACAAATATTTAGACCATCAAAATCAGATTCATTTTTCTTGGCAAGCAGCGCGTCCCAAAGGCATCAGAATCAACAGATTAAATCCGGTGCCGCTTTTTTTTTTCCTTCTCTCCCCCCCGGAACTGAAAATTACAATCCCAAATCCCATATTTTTTTCCTCAGAAATTAGTGCTTCCATTTGTTTTTTTTTTACTCCATCAAAACTTTAAAAAACTGACTGATTTAGAAATATATATATTTTCTTGCTTTTTTTTAGTGCGCAGAAGCAATTGCGGTGAGGCCACTGTTGTTTTTATAGAAATTCTTCTTCTTATTATGATTATTTTTATTTTCCATCCGTCCATCCATCCACCCATTTTCAACACCGCTTATCCTGAACAAGGATGCGGGAAGTTGCTGCCGCCTGTCCCAGATGACTTCAGGCGGAAGCAGACTACACCCTGAACTGGTCGCCAGTCAGTCACAGGGCACACATACAGACAAACTACCACAACCAACATGCACACCATCACTGAGTGGGAAACAATCCCACGCTTTTTGCACACAAGTCCGACGAGTGTACCACTGCACCATCTTATAATAAAAAGAATAATTCTTCTTCTTCTTCTTCCTCTTCTTCTCATTATTATTATTATTATGTAGTATGACTGTCACTGCTGTGATGTCTCGATTGTTTGTTTTTATTTTTTAGAAATTAATATTTTTTACTTTTTTTCTCACTGAAATGAATCATATTTTTGGGGTCCTAAACACGCACGAAAACTTACCATATTTTGCACACTCATCGGAGCTGGTGGAAAATTAGATTTTTTTTTAAAGTTGTCATAAACAATAAAAATAAAATGGCTCTCGAGTGTTTCCTGCTGTTAAAAAATAAACTATAAAAACGATTATGGTGCATTTGCCTGATTTTTAAATATATTCAAAGTATCTGAATTCTTGGGTTTTTTTTTTGTTTTGCACATGGCTCCAAGAAACTCTTATATAGGTCTTGCATTAATTTATCCATGATTATCTATGTCTTTTGTATATAGCTGTTCCGTATCAATGAAGCCAACCAGCTGATGCAGTATGACCAGTGTCTGACCAGAGGAAATGATAAGTCAGCTGTCATCATCACACATTGTGGCCAGAACCAGTACTCTGAATGGAAGTATTTCAAGGTGAAACCAACACATTAATTACCCCACTAGATAACGTATAAATATGTCATCGTCAATTTTTTATGGAAAATAATAGAACTTAACCATTTCATATTGTTTTTATTCAACCAATGTGTCTGTTATTGTACCCAAAAATTGCAAGTGATGACCACCTGAGTTGAGTCGGTGGGGTCTTCGATGCCTAGCTCAAGGGTGCCATGGCAGTAGTCAGAATGTAGACGTGCATGTCTCCACTCAACACTACTTTTTTTTTCTTTTTGTCCGCATGGGACTCTTACAGTGACCCTGTGCTTCCCAAGTGTTGTCCCCCCCCCCCCCAAACACACACACACACAGATAATATATCGGTATCTTCCCCCACCATTGGAGCCAACTCATCACCAGGTGGTGATCATTTGACAGCTTCACACCTCTCTTCACCCGAGTGTCCAAAACATGTGGCCGCAAATCCGATGATCGGAGCGCAAAGTCAATCAGCGAACTGTGGCCAAGTGTGTCGTAGTGCCAAGCCTTATTTTTGAACACGTGTTCGTTACGGACAATCCGTGACAAGCACAGAAGTCCAATAAGAGAACGCCACTCGAGTTCTGATCGGGTGTGGGGGCGAATTCGTCATCCAATTAAATAGCAGAAAATACTCCATAGCCTACTTATGTTATAATTCCGACATGTGCCTTAATTTACTTTTAACATTTGATTATATGCACAACAAGCTAATGAATTGATGTTAGCCATGACGTTAGCTGAACCAAAATAACTTGAGGCAGGTGTAGCAAACCAGTCAGAGACTAAGAGCCACCGTGTTCCTGCAAAGAGCCACATAATCCACATGGGCACACATAAACATCACCCAATCCCTTCCTCACACACACACACACACACACACACACACACACACACACACACACACACACACACACACACACACACACACACACACACACACACACACAAAACACCCAGGGCAACAACATGGTCAAAAAAACGTTGTGGCGGTCCTAATGTTTGACCACCGGCCACCGGGTACCGTACTTTCCGCACTATAATTTTTTTCATATATTGCACGCACTGGACTATAAGGCACAATCTACAATGCATCCACTAGATGGAGCTACAGGTACGTCTTTGTCCATCTTCGTGCCTTCTCTTCTTCCGTTTGACTCAAGAGGCGTTCATGACCGCCTCGGAAAAACATAAATTAACTATTGCTTCATTGAAACTATCAAAATTGAAAATACAGTATTGCATCAAAAAAGAAAATCACAAAATAAATTCTATAGCCCCATAGCTGCAACAGAACGATCAGATGTCAGTAAATTTGATCTTAATTTTACTGTTTGGTGCCTACTACCATCTTTGTTACTAATTATTGCTTTATTGATTTGACTTTTTATTTGGTCTCCCATAGGAGAAATTTGTCTCGGAGGACATGCCCTCCTTGCTGCTACATGCATTGAACAATACAAACACATACGCTACACCACATACATTGGACAATACATACAGTATCGGACAATATATACTCTACACACAATGGATGGTACATCACAGTCATATGACTGATGTCCTCATTTCCTCCTGCTTGTCTGTCTGCCTTCCTCTAGTTGTTTGTTAATTAGGCTGATAGCCTGCGGTATGAATGAGTTTTTGTATCGGTTTAATTTGCAGAGAAGGGTCCTGTACCTCCTTCCCGAATGTAGGAGCTCGAATTGGGAGTGCAGCACATGAGAAGGATTGTCTAGAATGTTGTTGGCCTGTTGAATGACGGACTGCACATATATGTCCTGGGGAGCAGGGGGCGGGGGCTATATTGTTGCTCCATGTACAGCACTTTGTATGCAGCAATGGCTGTTCGAAAGTGCTCTATAAATACAGTTGAGTTAAGTTGGAGGAGACTGGACTGTCTCAGAAGTGTTTATTTATTCCTTTGTTGTGTACTGTGTTCACAAACGAGGAAATCAGAAAAAAAATTCTGTTGCGGGGCTATAGAATTGATTTTGTGATTTCCTCGCTTGATTTTCTGTTTTGATGCATTATTTTCAATTTTCGTAGTTTCATTGAAGGAATAGTTAACGTTTTTCTGAGGTGGTCATGAACGCCTCTCGAGTCGAACGGAAAAAGAGAAGGCACGGAGACGGACAAAGACGTACCTGTATTTGTTGAGACTGTGAAAAACATGAATAAAGTATGCGTTTTAAAAAAACAACACCACAGCTCTCCTTTTTTCGGAGCTGCAACAAAAACGTATTTAATTAAAAACCCTCGTGGCGTGCAAAATACTTTATTCTTGAACTAGGGGGAATGTACATAAAATGTACTGTACACACGAGAGTCATAGTTTTGTCGCTGAAAAAAATTTTTTTTCCTCCAACCACTCAAAATGTTCGGTGGCCTCAGAACTTTTTATTCACATAAATCAATTCATTTATTTATTTATCCCCCCCGCTTTTAGGACAGTACAAGTCCTAAAAGTGATTATAAAGACAACTAACTGAACTGTATATCTATATACAAAAAAATTCGAGGTGAATATTTTATTGGCCTAATTAGAGCTTTGAATTAGTCAAACAGTGGTGACAGAATCATTTTCAATTCATGCCAATTTTTTTGATAAAAGCAGTTTACCCAAAAACCTCACACAACGCATGTCAAGTGTACATTATGTGTACGTGAACTTGAAGTGTAATAACTCAGTCATTTATGAATATATTTTTACTTCCAACCACTCAAAATGTTCAGTGGCATCAGACCTATCCATACATATATAGTTTTCCGTTTATTTATCCCTCCCCCCACCCTTTAGGACAGTACAAATGATAAAAGTGACTATAAAAAAAAAAAATTAAATTAACTGTATATATATATATATATCATTTCTAGGTGAATATTTAAATGCATTAATTAGAGCTTTGAATTAGTCAAAAAGTGGTGAAAAATATTTTTTCAATTCATGCCAATTTTTTTTACAAAAGCACTTTCCCCACTGGGCGGTCAACGGCGCCTGTCGAATCCGCCCACGACGCGCTTCGGGCGGGTTGCCCGGACGAAGGTCCCGCCTCTTCCCGCCGGAGGTCGGCATTTTTTTTTTCTCAAAATCTTTCCTACGGGCGGTCGACTCCACTTACAAAGCGTGTCGCACAAGCACTGAAGAGGCAGATCACGCTGCCAATTTTTTTTACAAAAACAGTTTCCCCACTGGGCGGTCAACGGCACTTGTCGAGCCCGCCCAGGAAGCGCTTTTCGACCGCGTTTCACTACGAAAAGCCGGCCTCTTCGAGCTGGACCTCCGCACTTTTTTTTTTTTTCAGGCAGCAGATCGCGCGAAACCTCGGCCTCTTAAGACGCGATTCTCTTTTCACCTCGGCGATTATATTCTTACCTTCGCAAGTCCCGAGTGATCCGCAAGACACGCTTCGTGTACTGCAACCGCCCGCACCGCGCGGCCAAGCGCCAGCGTTCGGGCGGACTACCGCACGGTAGACCCCAAAGAGACGCGAGGGGCTACGCACGCGTCTGTGCATCTTCCCCCCCGGCGCACTTCTGCAAAGCTGCGTAATATGTGTCAATAAGAGTCGGTTTCGAGCATGCAACTACTCGACTTAGCTTCAAAGCTGACGACAAACAAAGGCCTCAAAGCAGACGACAAACAAAGACCTCAAAGCAAACAACATTTGGGCCACCATACTTCCTGTTGTGTTCTTTCAAAGAAGAAGCATGCAGCTATTAGCGGAAGTTATCAAAATAAAAGAGCACCCTGCCCGTGAAAAATGTTCTTCATAATTTTTGCAGAAAAATGCGAAAGATTTGTCGCGCACGTGGGGGGCTACGCACGCGTCTGTGCATCTCACCCCCGGTGCACTTCTGCAAAGCTGCGTAATATGTGTCAATAAGAGTCGGTTTCGAGCATGCAACTGACTGCTTCAAAGCTGACGACAAACAAAGGTCTCAAAGCTAACAACATTTGGGCCAGCATACTTCCTGTTGTGTTCTTTCAAAGAAAAAGCATGCAGCTATTAGCGGAAGTTATCAAAATAAAAGAGCACCCTGCCCGTGAAAATTTTTCGTCATAATTTTTGCAGAAAAATGCTAAAGATTTGTCGCGCGCGTGCACGCGTGCGGTGAGTGCAATACAGTGTCCAATATCAGCCATCAACTTCAAGCTTCATCGAAGCTTCAAAGGACTGCAGTGAGCGGTTTGCATGCGAATTTATTAGTTGGGCTGTGGCGCCATCAGCTGGTGTAAACGTGTCAAACACAATAACAAACTCAAACAAAAAAAAATACTTCGCATAAAATTGGCTCCACGGCACTGAAGAGAAAAATACCAAAATCCCGGGAAATGCATTGAAATACACCAGGTTTATGATGGGTCAAAGATTATGAATTATAATAGATGTAAGTTTACAATTAATGTACACTGTAACTGCACCGCACACTTTTTGGGTTTCTCCCAAATGCAATAATATATAAATGACACCAGACTGCCATTTTGTACTTCTACATGTCTTGACAACTTGTGGGAAATTTGAGCTCCCAAGTGTTTAACTTTCAATTACTTCCCTTTTGATAAAACATACGCAACACGTGAAAATGTACACTTAATAAAGCAGCGACACAGTTCACTGAACCAACAGCAAGTTATAACATTGTGAGCATGTCTCCAGCAAGGAGCCATCTTGGGGTCGACGTATTACTGTAATGACCATACACAAGGTGCATCGGATTTTAAGGCGTGCGGTGAGCTTTTCAGAAAATGGAAGACTTTTTGATGCGCCCTATAGTGCGGAAAATACGGTAATTTGTGTTTGAGATTCCTGCCCTAGTTGAATTTTCTGTTATCATCAGTCTCAGTCTTGATGATTACAGTATAAATACAGGTATTTCTCTGTTCAACTCTTATGGTTAAAGACAAAATTAAAGATGGATAAGGTTTAAAGGGTTTAACATTGGCCATGTTGTTTTCTTCTAATCAATATTTGATGACAAAACATCTGTTGAGTGAATGCGCCACTGTTTTGATCTGTGTCTTTTTTCATTATGCTTTCAGGATCTCCATCGCTTCACTCATGTGCCAACAGGTAAATATCTGGAAATGGACTGTACTTGACTTCTTTGGCATGAATTTAATGAAGCAACAGAAATATTTCTCAAACATCTAATGTGGCACCCTACGCCAGGGTAACAGCTGTTGCTTTTGACAATTTGGTATTAATTCATTCACTCCCAAAGATGTTTTTAAACGTCTTTTCAGACTTGGTCTAGAATTGGCTGGTACTGAATGAGTTAAAAGGGCAGCCTTCTAGTGTTCCTCTGAATTTGATTTGCAAGAAACTGGACTGTAAAACGACCACTCATTGTCAAGTCATCAACCACAATCTTCGGTGTAGAGCATGATCAGTGTCTTGAGGCTTTACTGGCAACTGTTTCATGGGATTTGTTCAACAGGCTTGGTGGAGTACATTAAATTGTAACATTTCTTATTGCCACTCAGTGGCGCAATATTTTTTCCCTTATTACTGTCCCAGTTCTTCTACCAGTCCAGTATGCTTGTGGAGGCTCTCAGTCGTACAGGAAAGTTCCATCGTAGAAAGGGTTCTGTCAGTCGTCATCTGTACCTGTGGGTAAAAAACAAAAAAAAACAAAAAACGTTTCGCTTCTCTCACAGAAGCTTCGTCAGCGGTAGACAACCCTGAAGTCTCCGTGAAGACTCCGGGAAGTTGCTCTGCGCCAAAAGGCTGAGCGTGGCCTGTTTGAGGACTGGGTGGGGATGGTTAGTCACGCCCCTATTGGTTTATTAGAGGCCCATTGGTTTCTTGAAAGGGGGGTAAAAGAAGCGATTTTTGTTAAAAAATTTTCACCCTCTCTGAACCGTGAAGGAGGTATCAGATTTAACCTGTCTCCTATTTACAATAACTTGTTGACCAGTAAGGGACATAGACATGCTGATCAGGCTAACTGAAAGTAGCTATTCAGCCTTAGCCCAAACAATAGGCCTAATCAAGACCCAATGAACGGTCACAAGTTATTAAATAGGAGACAGGTCTCCTATTTACAATAACTTGTTGACCAGTAAGGGACATTTGTTTTGTTTTTTTTGTTTTTTACCCACAGGTACAGATGACGACTGACAGAACCCTTTCTACGATACCAGTCCAGTATCAACATCTGCCCCCCACACACACACACACACACACATTAACACTAACGTCCCGGGCCAAGCCATTTGGCTTTCCTACATAGAATGCTCATAGGGCAGCCAATTGACTGTATTGGCTGTTGTTGTTGGTCCTCTGGGCATTCTGGAGGGGTAAGAAAATCCTGGGACTTCTAGTGGTCTAATCTGCATGATGAGCAATAGCCATTACTGACCTTAACTCATTCAGTACCAGCCAATTCTAGCCCCCTTTTTTTTTTTACCCTAAGTCTTGGAAAAATTGAAAAAAAAAGTATACGAAACAGGTAGATCTCTGTTTAAAAAAAGGAAATCACTTCCTACCTCAGTGGACTGACTTTGATGTCAATGTCATTTTGCAATCTCAGAATCTCATCCTCAAGAGTGGGGCTTTCAAAGTCAAAAAGTGATTTGACTTTGGCGGCAATGTCACTAACGTCAATGTTTGCACCAAATGGATAACACATATAGCTGACTATAGGTTTAATGGATGCAAAGTCAGTAAAATGCCTCTCAAACTCTGACGGGATGCTCTGAACATGCTCCTCATAACGTGCACTGTCAAGCTGTGTCACACCTTTCCCATGACATTGTAGTTCTGCTTGCATGTGAAGGAAGTTGCACAAGCCGCAGCCGTTTGGACATCAGCTTTAGTTTGCTTTTAAATGTGCTCACTGAACTCATCATGTTGACTTCATCTTTACCCTTACCCTGCAGCTCTGAATTCAATTCATTGAGCTGGCCAGTGAGATCAGTGAGGAAAGATAAGTCTAAAAGCCACTGTTTTGTCCCGCTAACAAATCCCATGAAAGCATTAAAAATATCCTCACCCCTGGTGTGTACTTTTAATGGCAAAATGGTGAGTCACTCTTCATTGGTGCTCATGTCTTGAAAAAAACATTCTGATGAAAACGCACATTTGTGCCACATCCACCATATCAGTCGTCTCGTCAAATTGGAGGGAAAAGCACTCACATGCATCAATATCTTTCCTGAGTTGTTCCTCCACATCCACAGCCATTCCATCACATCGCCTTGTAGCAGTATTGAGGGAGAGTTGCACTCATTTAATAGCATCTACAATCTCTGTTTTATTTTTAAAGTGATCAAAAAGGCTATCCGCTGCATCGAGAAAGGCTTCCTTCACAATAGCGCCGTCTTTGAATGGCTTGTTATATTTGGCATAATCCAATCATCTGATTGGTTGCCCTCTGTGTCAATCAAGTAACGGGATTGATGATAGGCTGACGTAGTACGTTCTGTGTATTTAGCGCCGTTGTTTGAATGGCATTGCCACCGCCATGGGATTTTCAACGCTTGTCATGTGAAAGCCCGGGAGCCGCATTGAACCAGCCAAAGAGCCGCGGGTTGGCCACCCCTGCTCTCAGCCATGTTGACGTTTCGGGGTGAAAACCGCTGTAATCGCTAGCTGCTTGCTACTGTTAACAGCTGTCAACTTCCAGCAGCGTTTCTAACTCATCGATAAGGAAAGTAGCTATTGGCTGTCCTAATCGTCACTCAATGATGTCATCAGTTCCCTGTGATTTACTTGGAGGATGTTTTTTTTTCTTATCTTTTTTTCTTTTGTAGTTTTTGTTTATGTTTTTTTTAAAAAAAACTTATTTCAGACAAAGAAAAGTTTTACATTTACATCCAGCCCAGATTGTAAACCTGGCACGATCAGCCAGCAGTGGCTTCATTTGGGGGTGGGGCCACAACTGCTCCCGGCGCTGCTCATTGAGAACAACGTGCTTTCACCACACAGACTCCAAAAGTCTCCAATAACACCAGAAAAAGTCGCTGGATTGTTACTAGTCACATTTTTTTTTTAAAAAGTCGCTCGAGAGTATCTGAATACTCACGAAATATAGCGTCAAAGTCGCTAAGTTGACAACACTGACTTCCTGTTGTGACATTAAAAAAAAAACAACTTTTTTTTCCCAACACACCTCACGGTCGACTCGGGATCAGATCGCGGTCGACTGGTTGGGCACCCCTGCTGTAGAGTGTCTACAACATAGCGCTGGCTTGGAATAAAAGGTAAAAATAAATAAATAAATGGCAGCGCCATATGGACGCCTTGATGCAGCAGAGGCTTGGCTCCCGGCGACCAAAAGTAACAGTAACCACACCAATGTTGAAGTATTTTAGGCGGCTTCTAATATTGCTCTAATTTTTGGTGATATCTGACAGATAAAAGCCATTTTTTCTCCAATATCAGTCCAATAAATATCTCTCTGAATGCCATAGCGCATCCCTAAAGTTTTACAAATTATTTACCAGTGTTAAAGTGATACGCGATTCAAAAATCATTTTCCCTTGTTCTACTATTAGGCGGTGTGTATGAAGATTAAAAATGCAATTAGCAATGGCATCTGTTTTCCTGAAAAAAAGTTATCAAAATGATGACCTACCCGGTACGCTTTCATATCGGACATTTTTGAATGGTTTACATAATCGCTGTGCCGTGTTCCATGCTGTAACATGTTAATGTTCATTTGGGACTTTTTTCCTGGTCGATTCTGCGAGAAAACTGGCAAACTCCTAAACATCGCATGTTTCATGTTCTTCTTTGAAGAAGGAAAAAAAAAAAGAAATATTGCAGATGTGACGTTGCCTCATTCATATGCGTAATGGATATTTACACTTACAACGTTTATGTAATTCTAAATAATCTGATATTTTCAGACTACTATGATATGTATATCTATGCGCACATACATTTATTATTATTATTATTAAATCATTGTCTTTTCAACCATGAAATGCCTAGCCTATTATCGGTATCTGTGTGATTTCTTTATTTTCCCACGCATTAAAGTAGTGACTGGTTTTGCAACTGCTTTTGTTTTTCTTTTTCAGGAAAATGTTTAGATCGCTCAGACCTCCTCCACAAAGTGTTCATATCAGACTGTGACCCCAGTAAAACTACTCAAAGGTGGGAAATGAACAACATCGTGGCTGTATAGAGACTGCTCAACTCATACAAATGAAACTGTTTGGACTACGCTGAAGAAAATGGATATGCACCAATTATAATATGCATTCATGCATACTTTAACTGGGCTGATGGTGGGTCGTTTTAGATCTGAGCCATTCACTTGTCAGAATGTGGCAAACCACCCCCCCCCCCGGCCCCCACCCCACCACTAATCATCAATTGACTTTGGGTAATAGAAAAGTTACTAGCAAAAAAAACATGCCAGCCTGTAATGTTCTTTGATGTCACTCTGCTTTATGGTACTGTGTTTACACTGGGTCTCCCATAAAAAGGTTTTTTAAAAATCACTCGTGCTGTTTAATGCACCCTCCATTTTGAAAAGCATGACTTGAGTCCTTCATTGTTCCAAGAAGAGAAACCATCTTGGGTGCAGTCCGATCTTGTCTCCTCAGCAGGATATGCTCCTCCTGACGATCGGGCCAATTTTGAGCCATTGCCTTCCTTCAAGATCAAAGTTAGCAAAGGCCTGAATGTCTCTGAACTGTCCAGAGCAATTCTTTTAAGATGAGGTTTGTTGAAAGTGATTTTTTTCCTCCACGATCTGCTCGAAAAATAGTTTGTGGCGGACGGTCATAAAGAATAAAACTTTTCAATATTGAGGACTGCAAATTCTTGCGTGAGCAACTGGTCGTGTTTATTTTTTGTAGAACGCCTGTTCCAAGACCACTCCAATAAAACAAAAGACGAGTTTGCAACCAGAATCTTTGTTGTCATTTGTTACCAGATAAATAGTCTAGATCAGTGGTCCCAAACATGCGACCCGCGGGCCAAATGCAGCCGTATGGCTTCCGGGTACTGGAACCTCCGTTGTTATGAATCGATCGTTAATGTAATATCGTAGTCAAAATTTTAATGCATAGGTTTTTATTCCTAGGTGAGGGAATTTCCGTTTGACAGAAGCCTGCCTGCCTGCCTGCCTGCGTGCGTGCCTGCGTGTGCGCGCGTGCGTGCGTGTACAGGTATATATAGATTTAGATATAGTGCGGCCTGGTGGTCCAGTGGTTAGCGCGTCGACCTCACAGTGCAGAGATACCGGGTTCAATTCCAGCTCCGGCCTCCCTGTGTGGAGATTTCATGTTTTCTCCGGGTACTCCGGTTTTCTCCCACATTCCAAAAACATGCATGGTATGCTGATTGAACACTCCAAATTGGCCCAAGTTGTGAGCGTGAGCGCGGATGGTTGTTCGTCTCTGTGCTCCCTGCGATTGGCTGGCAACCGGTTCAGGTTGTCTCCCGCCTACTGCCCGAAGACGGCTGGGATCGGCTCCAACACCCCCCTGCCACCCTTGTGAGGATAAGCAGATCGGAAAATGGATGAGTATGTGTGTGTGCGCCATCAATTTAACGGCTCTATTTATTTCAATGGAAATCTTTTGCACGGCTGGGCCACCGCCGCGACCGGGTTTCCAGAGCAACCAGAGGCGGCATTGGTTTTTGAGCAAGGGTACAGGTCAACATGGTCTATTAAAGAAACCTACCTACCTACAGTAGAGAAGGTGTCCGAGATTTTCTCGGACAAAGTTAAAGAAATGACTCGGCACACAGGAAAATTGTCTTCAATTGCTCCACGATCACACTCTCTCCAGCTCCCTTCCCGCCAATTCCGACTTTTATTGTACATACAAGGAAAACACTGCCCCCGACATTTGCATACCGCACCCCCGGTCCGGCCCCTTGGTAGTGATTGGTTACCTGAGTTTGAGCTTTGAACCACGGTACATTGGCGCCTTTCTGTCTGGTCTACACTGTATCAACATGTTGCAGACTTTGCGGACGACAAATGTCACCTGGGCGCGACGGGTGTTCTCAACTCGTCTTTTGTTGTTCAACCGCTGTTCCCAAATTATTCATTCCCCTTTTGTGACCGAGTTTCGCCCTCTCCCTTGTGATTGCCCACCTGCATTGACGTGCTAATTGTGGACTTCAACAGCCCTCCGGCCAGGTGGCCGGCGCCTTTGTGCACAGGCATTTGGGGGTGCTGGATACGCACCCAAACGTTTAGATGTGCCCAAATTAAATGAAACTTTAAACATGATACAATTTTGCTCATAGATTCCTCTAACAGAAGGCATTACATTACTTTCGAAATATTAACGTTGTGTCTGATGATGAGTGGCCGCTGGATGGCTTTGCAGACATGGGGGTCCGAGTGAGCAGTCCCCACACCAACCCACAGGCGAAGGCTCCTCCGGCCCGTTGGTTGCTCTCCAGTGCAATGGAGTGAGGACCTCCGGTGCACCCACTCATCGCAAATGATCGCAAGGAATCAGCATTGTCGTCCTGCGCATCTGGCGTCACAAATTGTTGATCGTGTGTTGTAAATCCTAGGGCTGCCACTGCTGCGATCCCGCCATCAACATGACAAATGCCCGCTGGGATCGGTCACGTGACATCTGGAGCTCTGTCACGGGAACCCCCTCTAGATCGGGATTGTCCGAAAATTGCCAGTGTGTATTGTACAGGTGTGTGATTGGTCCACGGATGCCGCAAATATACACTATGATTGACTGACAAATGAACAAATGACAGAATAATGTGGAATTCAATGCTTTCCGATATGCCCCCTAGAGCAAGCTTTGTGTACTGCAGCGGCAAGTAAATGACCGAAATTTCAACAAGTGGCAGAATATTAAAAAGCTGTTATGATTTCTGCTCGTTCCTCTGTACGGCCACGGCACTGCGAAGAGTTACTTGCAGCTTGGTGAACTCATGGCAAGACTATAAAGTGATTGACCAAAAAAAAAAAAAAAATCTACATTTGTTGTACCTCAAGTTTAATAATCGGTTCCCACCGTTTACTAATCTGTTCCCACCGTTTACGAGTCTGTACCCACAGTTTAGCAGATCACCAGTGTTCCATCGTATACCTGTTATTCAGGTACTTTTAGAATTGTCATGGCGTGATTTATTTTCACTTTCATCCACTATATGAAAGTGCCACATATGAAAGTAATATTGCTCTCGTTCGATGGTTTTGCTTGATATCGCAGTTTTAGCAGCAAACGACTACAATTAGCCAGTGTGTTTCTTTTAATCTTTCATGCATCCAGTTTTAAAACATTCGCTCAAAGCAAGCAATGACCCAGTTCTTGCTGGAGAAGTGGACAATCACTCAGTCACATTACAAGAGCAGACAAATACATCATTGTACCTTGTACCTCTCTGCAGTGAGAAACAATGGCCCTCTGAGTCGGATGCCTCTTGGAATCCTCCCTTGTGACATGTTCTGGGCATGTCACACCTTGAGAAGGCCCTCAGGATGACCCAGGACACAATCGAGACCATGTCTTCAGGTTGGCCGAGGAACGATTGGATCCAGCCAGAAGAGATGGATCAAGTAGCTGGGGATAGGGAAGTCTGGGCTTCCCTGCTAAAACTGCTGCACCTGACCCTGGATAAGCTGAAGCAAATGCATAGATTGATGGATGGAACTTTATTCAATAATAAAACTAAATCAGCAGTGAACCTCAAGACTAAACTTTCACCAACTTGGATAAAAGTTTATATTGTTATTATGTATTTTGTTGTCTGCTATTGGGTGATGGCTTCTTCATCCTGGCGCTTCACTCCACAGATCCCTCTGGTGTAAGAACATAATGAGGCTCTTTGCAGTGGCATTAACAGTGAGGACAGCTTGAGTGACCAAGTGTAAAAGATATTATTTGTAAAAGAATCAAAAAAAGCAACTCTGCAGACGTGTGTTAGTTTTTTAATGGAAAGCGCATGTAGGGAAAAATATGTATCCAGACATGTAATTTGCATCTTCATGAAACATGATGCAAATCATGAAATATCATCAGGCACAGGGGGTGTCTGTCGCTATGCAGTTGACCCTTTTGCACGAATTATTCACAGGTGCCACAGGAAATGGGTAAGTGAGAAAGTCCAGAAGAAAAAATATACTGTATATATATTTGTTTTAAAAAAAAGTAGCGCATTGGTGATCACAATTGTCAGGTGAAATTAGTGAGGAACAGTTGATGTTGTTGCTAATACATCATTTACAGTTACATGTGAGTATTTAGTGGTTTGTATTTTCAATTACAGGCCACTTATTTGGATTGTGTGTAGTGACACTTGTTCATCAAACAATCCACTACATCTTGAGATGGAGTACTGGTCAGGTGGGCCTTCTGGGAATCGATGAAGCAGCTTCGGTAAAAGACTGCAAACAGATAAACAGAGGGTAGTAGTATGAACAGTCCAGAATAGAGTGTTGTTTCTTATTCAATCATAGCACGTTATAATGTTATGTTATAATAGCAGCGGTTGTGAAAGCTCTATATAAATAAAGCTGTATTGTATTGTATTTCTTTTAGCGTAGCTCCATCCAGTGGATCCATAACGCAACCGCAGCTACTGGACATTACTGTATATCTCAAATGGTATATTCGAAACATATATTGAATGTTGGAGTCAATACCTATTTTCCCTTATCTTTATTTTTCAGACATGCTCTCTGTTATCTATTTATTATTTGTGCATAAGTGTATATTCGCTTGCAAGACGTCAGTTCCAGTAAAGCAGTGGTCCCTGCAGAGTCAGATAACTTGAGAGTCGTTATCTCCCCACACACATGAAGAAGTTTGGTCATAACAACTGAACAAGTTTAATATATAAGATTGTTGGTCCTGACCAGTTTGAGACCCTATTATCAGGAAAGGACAAATTCACCCTAAACACACCTTTGAATCTTTGAAGACAAAATAATTGGCCTCTATCTTCCTTGGTCAGAAAGGGGCAAAATTGGGATTAAAAACAGCCCAATTGTCTTTATGTGTGTACCTGGCCTTAGATTTAAAAGAAAACCAAGGGCCAAATGTAAACCTGTCATTTGTCTCTATACCTTACAGCACAATTCATGTTTATTCATCTATCTTTAAGCTTGAACCCATGTATCTACAACGAAGACCTTGTCTTACACTGTACAATCCAAAGGTGTACTTCATTCTGTACAGATAGAAGCAGAGAGTGGCAGAGCCTGCAGTCTGGGCCATGGTGAAGAGCAGGAGGGAGAATTTCAACCCTCTGGTCAGGCGCTGTTCAAAAAGAAACATTCATATAATATAGTCATATACGGTAATTGTACCAAGACACTTATTCGTCACACTGCATCAAATGAAGGACATTAACTAAGACCAAAAATAGCACGTGCTATTTTGTGTATTCAGTTGCGTTTACAGATTGCGTGATGGGCATGTTGCTACTATACTCTATACTACTCATCTTTTACTAATATTCCAAAATTAGTGAGCACTAATTGAGTGTTCACTCATGCTAACAGATCATGCACGATGTTTGCAACAGGTCTAAAATTGGTGCGGACAACAGAATTTAAAAGTGGGTTTTACGACATAATAGATCCAATTGGAAATGTTAGTAGGAGAGACATATTTCCCAGTTAAAGAAAATAAATCTCGCGCTTCAATAATTTTGGGAAAGTCAGCCACCACATTTATTTTCGAGCTGAGACAAGTAATAACATGAAATCAATTCTTAAAATCAATTGATACCTATTTTGACAACCGAATAATTGCTTATAATTCATAATTGTTAAAATCATCAGAATTTCAGATTTTCAAAAGTTAATGTTCTCAAATTTCTGTAGTCCTCCATAGAAACAGCCTAAGTATCTCTATCAGGTTACAGAAACAACCAGTAAACTGAATCATAATCTGCAATGTTAGTTCGAAACTTTGCAGTTTCAAACTAACATTGAAACTGTTGCTTATTCAAACCAGTGTTTGAATAAGCTGGTGGAATTTTGTGTTTTGTTTTGAATCCAACTCGACAAATCAAAAAAACATCTCATATACCCATCTTCTTAGCCTTTTCTGGGTTCAGGATCACGGGGTATCAGTTTAATCAGGGAGCCTCAAACTTCTCTTTCCCCAAAATCACTTTTTGTCTTGCAAAGGACATCCAAAGACAACCCTGTCCTGGGAATTGCTGCCGGTGGGATGTGCTCGGAAAATCTCGCCTGAGAAGCCTCCAGGTGGCATCCTGATCACATGCCTGAGCCACATCATCTCAAATCACCCCGCATCATCTCTTACCATAATATCAATGACATCAACATTGACTCTCTCGCTGCAAGGATCGCCACCCTGACTCCGGACACAGACTCCTCTCCTGATATTTTGGTTTCCCAATACAACACGGACCTTACCAACATTCTCAATACGCTCGCTCCTGTCAAGTCCCACTCTGTCTTTTTCACTCGGTCTGCCCCCTGGTTCACCCCTCATCTCCGTTCCATTAAATCCAAAACTCGGCAATTTGAAAGACTCTACCGAAAAACTGGTCTCACTGTTCACAAGGACATCTCCACAGCTCAACTTTCCCATTACAAGGACTCCATCTCTCAAGCCAAATCACAATACTACTCTGGACTCATCTGCTCTAATATTGGAAATACTAGGACTCTCTTTTCACTCTTGAACAAAATCACTCAACCCCCTGTCTCCCAACCACCCCCCCACCCCACTTTTATTCTTCTGACACCTGCAACACTCTGCTCCTATTTTTTATTGAAAAAGTCAATAAAATCCACCAGCACCTCGGCTCCTCTGTAACTAACCCTCACTATCTTTCCACTCCCACATTAATAACATAACCCGGTCTGCATATTTCCACCTACGCAATATCAACCTTCTCCGTCCCTCTCTCACCCCTCACACCACTGCCATCCTTGTCCAGAGTCTCGTCACCTCCCGTATTGACTATTGCAATTCACTTCTTTTCGGTGTCCACCACAAATTCCTTCATAAACTTCAACTGGTCCAGAATTCTTCGGCCCGTATCATCACTAGAACCACCTCCTTCCATCACATCATTTCCATCCTCCAACAGCTACACTGGCTTCCTGTCAAACTGAGGATCAACTTCAAAATACTCCTCTTTCCATTTAAAGCCATCCATAACCTTGCCCCCCCATCTGTCTGACCTTCTTCAAATTTCCGTTCCCTCTCGTTCCCTCAGGTCCTCAGCCTACCTCCTCCTCTGTGTACCCTCTGCCCATATCAGCACGATGGGGTGCAGAGCTTTCAGCTGCTCTGCCCCCAAACTCTGGAACTCACTCCCACCCGACATGCGTAATATTGACTCTCTTCCCACATTCAAAACTCATCTCAAAACCCACCTATTTAAAACTGCATACTCAGTTTAAACTCATCTCTTTTATTATTTATCATTTTATCTGTGGTTTTATTGCTCTTGTTTGATTGTAAGGTGTCCTTGAGTGTTTTGAAAGGCACTTATAAATAACATGTATTATTATTATTAATATCTTATGAGCTTCCAAACCTATCTCAAAGAGAGAGCCTGGACAACCTGGAGAGGAAACTAATTTTGGCTGCTTGTACGGAGTCAGACAAAATGATCTGACACATTTGTATGTTAAATAAAAGGCAAATAAAGTAAAGAAACAAAAAAGGGTTTTTATTTTCGAATATGCTATATTAAAGTAAACTACACATGACAGTAAACTACACATTACATCATCGGCACAAGATGTAATCTACCCGCATGCTCCTACATCTGATCCTGTAGGGGACCATATGTTTCAGAGTCTGCCAGAAGCAAGTGTTTGGTAAAGCCATGTCCATCCTTGAGGTGGGTCCGCTACCGTCTGCTATTTTCCTAGATACCAAATTTATATATCACTTCTTCATCACCCCGTTTCCTTCACCAACATTTCCATTACAATCTGAACCAATACAGTCTCTCTCTTCTGCTCGGGATGCCCAGAACGATGTTGGCCAGTTTCTTCCAGAATTTCTCTTTCAGTTGTAGTTGTTCTACCTGTGGGACCCCTAATTAAATGAAAATAACACCCTTGAGTTCAAGTTTCAGTCTCTTCACTCGATGCAACACTCTATTGACCTCCAGGACATACTTAACTCATTCTTACCTTAAAATAAGCCGTACTCCATATATTTTCCGATCAACACGGTGGTAAAACAATTTGAACCCTGTCCCTAAGCTTCTTGCCTTCCTGGATCTCCACCTGGTCTCCTGGAGACACAATATAGCTACCATTCTCCTAAATCACCATTCCAATCAACTCTCCAACCTTTTCTGATATTGTCCAAACATTCAAAGGCCCCATTTTCAGGTGTAAACTCTGTTTTCCTCTTCTCTTTTTGATGATCAACCCACTTTCCAGCTCTCGTTCTTTGATTCACAGTTGCTGAATTTTGACCACCGCCCTTAAATTAAAGGCGCTAAGGGTTTCCTCTTAACCTAGGGCGTGACGGATTTGGAACGGAATTCTTTAGTTGATCTTTCATATTTGTTTGGCATGGTTTTAAGCCTAATGCCCATCCTGACACGAACCTCTGCAGTTATCAGGCCTTAGGATCGGCTTACATTTTGCAATAGCATTTGCTCTCGTAGGGCTGTAATCACATTATAACTATACCATTAGAACTAGACTCCTGGTGAGTTGAGGTTGGTGAGTTGAGGGAAAGCATACACAGTAAGTAATACACACCGTGGCGTAGAAGTTTACGTTACAGCTTCCATCCAATTTCTTGACACATGATGCCTCTGGATGTTTGTCCAGATCAACAGAATATACAATCACAGCAATAACTGACACCACTGTGGAAACAACATTCACCATCAAGGATGCCTGGTACTGAAAAAGAAGAAGAAAATGTGAGTGTTTATTTAATTTGAAATTCCAATGACCAGAGAAATTTAAAAAAAAAAGAGAAAATATTGTCATATTGTTAACATCATGCCACAACTTTTAATGTATACGTAAAGTTTGGGAACTTTTGAGGTGGGTCATGTACAGGGGAGGTAGCATTTCCTCTCTTTTGGAGTAGAAAATATGAAATGCAAAATTTGATGCTCCAACCCTGTTCAAGAGTATTCTGAAAACCTTTATTCCATGATGACATCTAAGGTGTGGAGATGGTGGTGCCCAAGTCTGAAGTCAATTGGATTAAACCTCCAGGGCAAGGGTACAAAAGGGGACTATCTGATGATCGAAACATGTTTTTTCTGCAGATTTGAAAAGGACACCCCCATTTCTCATAACTTGCCCACCCCCACCAGAAACTACCCTATTCACACCCCCGCGCTCATCCCCTGCTCTGAAGAGCCGCGAACAGGACGTGAGATGGCTTTTCAAGCAGCAGAAGATCAAGAAGGCTGCGGGGCCCAACAAGGTGTTCCCTTCCCGCCTGAAAATCTGCGCTGACCAGCTGGCTCCAGTCTTCACACAGATCTCTAACAACCCTGGAGCTGTGTGAGGTCCCATCCTGCTTCAAACAGTAAACCATCATCCCAGTCCCCAAGAAACCAGCAATATCAGAACTGAACGACTACTGGCCTATCGCACTGATGTCTGTGGTCTGACGTCCTTTGAACGCCTTGTGCTGGACCACAAAAAGAACTTCAACGGACCCCTGCTGGACCCCCTGTAATTTGCCTACCAGGCAAACAGGTTAGTGGGTGAGGCAGTCAACATGGGGCTGCACTACATCCTGGAGCACAGGGACCTACGCAAGGATGCTGTTTATGGACTTCAGCTCTGTTCAACACCATCATCCCGGAACTGCTCACCTCCAAGTTTCTCCAGCTCAGTGTGTCCCCTATAATCTGCCAGTGGATCCTCAGTTTCCTGACGAACAGGATGGGAAGGACAACATCATCAACACGCACCATCAGCACTGGCGCCCCCCAAGGATGCGTCCTCTCTCCGCTGCTCTTCTCCCTCTGCACGAACACTGCACCTCAACGCACCCAGCCGTCAAAAACAACTTTCGCTGACGACACCACAGTCATCGGCCTCCTCAAAGACGGCGATGAGTCTGTGAACCGACAAGTGGAGCAGCTGGTGCTCTGGTGCAGCCAACACAACCTGGTGGAGCTGAACACGCTCAAGACTGTAGAGATGATCATGGACTTCAGGAAACAAACCCAATAATTAGATTAGATTAGATATTAGATATCCTTTATTTGTCCCACACTGGGGAAATTTACAGCCTTCAGCAGCAAGATTGTGGGTAGAAAGAAGAGAAAAGAAAACACAGTTCAATTAAGTGCAATATAATACAATAGTCACAGTACTATTCACATATGTTGTCATATCATTTAAATAATTCTATGATTTATTTATTTATTCATTTTTTATTCAGCAGCCTGACAGCAGTCGGTAGTAACGAGCGGCGGGATCTCTCCGTCTTGCAACGCGGGTGTAACAGTCTCTGACTGAAGGAGCTACCGAGTGCTGTCAGGGCTGGCTGGAGGGGGTGGGAGGGACTGTCCAACATAGCTTTTAGCTTAGCTAGCATCCTGCTGTTGCCCACCTCCTCCAGAGTGTCGAGGGAGCAGCCCAGGACAGAACCAGCCTTCCTGACTAGTCGCTCTAATCTCTTCCTGTCCCGGGCCGAGATGCTGCCTGACCAGCAGACAATGCCATTCATGTGGCATTGTCTCACATGATTGAATCACAAATGTGATTCATTGTGCATAAACTCTTATAAACACTTATAAAATAACAACAGGAGTAATTTTTACAAAATAATAGGGACCTGACAGCGGTCGCTGCTCAGGTCCAAACTACAACTTCCAGCAGATATAAAGGGCCCTTGCAAGCATGGCCACATTGGAGTACTGGCTCATAAGGCACATATGGAAAGAACCCTCTCAAACAGGCGTGTCAAACTCATTTGTGTCGCGGGCCACTTTCAGGGATGAGAGTGGCTAGTGATGAAAAAATTTGAAAATCACCTGGGCGTCTGGGGGGCGCAGGACCCCAGTGGGGTCCAGGGGCAACGCCCAGATGGGGGCCCAGGGGTCAAAGCCCCCGGAAGCTAATGGGTTTTTAGAGATTTTAAAGCCTTAAAACCATTAATTTTATCAACAAAATTTTACAATTTTTGTTGAAATTGGGACTTTATATTAAACATGCTAAAGATGAAGTGTATTCCAATGTACACACTACTTGAAACTTTCACAGAAAAAAAAATCCCAAGATTGTTCATTATTTTTTCAAGTGAAAATTTGACATCGGCCTTGTGCAATTTTGCTTATGCATTCCTGGTGAGCACCAACATGTAACTTCAAATTTGCTGCTCAAAATAAAAACTAAAAAAGGAAACACATTACCTGCCATATTTAAGATTTGTTCATTACTTGTATTCATAAAATGTGTAAATGTGATAAAAAAATGTTGATTCTTACCTCATACACTGATAGTAAAGTCCCAAACTGTTTACTATATATGGGTTATGAATGCATTTTCCGTATAGAATGACATCGTCACACACTGTACACAGAGCTTTACCAGCGACATCGAGCTTTTTCCCGAAATCCGACACAAGCACAGACAATGGTTCCTCTTTACTGGTTCCTACTGGGGACACCGTCGGCTTTCTATCCAACCGGTCCCGTCGAAACTTGTTTTTCAGATCCGCATCTATCTGACGCACGTGAGCTTCCTCGCGAGTCTCAACAACATTTGGCATTTGTTTAGGACAGACTACATACACGAGTAATTTCAATACACTAGATCCCTTGTGCAGAACCATTCAGAATTCGCACAAAAGGGATTTAGGAAGGCGAGCACGGATTGGTTGTGATTCTGCATTTGCCGATATAGCGACCAATCACAACAAGTAAGACATTGGTTTTCGCCCATATACGAAGTAACGACAAACTAACGCTTTGCGAGAAAAAACGGTATTCAAAATGATTGCTTGCAAACTTTATTTGTAAACATTACAAGTCCCGAGTCTGCCGAAGACAAGTAAGTCCGACAGCCCAGAAATAACACCAGACCCAACCCCCCCACCCCTAAAATTTTCTCAACGGATTTGGAACAGTATAAAAAAGGTCAATTTTGACTGGAAAAAAAAGCGGAATTCCGCCAAAAAGCGGAAAAATCTCATCCCTGCACTTTGGAGTTATGTCTTCCCTGAGAGGGCCGTTACCACAGTGAAATCCAATACATATTGACGTAATCATTTCAGCGTATTATTACCCGTACACAACCAATTGATGGATGCCTAGTTTTGTCATCACTCAACTATTTGTTTGTTTTATTAGGTTTAAAGTTTCTTCTTTTCCAGACCATGGTCTTTTTTGGTGAAGAGGAAAACTCTGAGAACAAGCTGACTGTTTCGGCTGTCACTTCAGCCTTTGTTGAACCTGTCGCTGCTTAAAAACAGCTATTTGTTGGTTGGTTGTTCAATTATTGTTCAAGTGACTGTAAACAGGGTAACAAAAGGATTGCAAAATTTCAACGTTCTTTTTCACACGTCATAATTTGGCATTTCAGTGCAGATTTTAGCAGTAATCAGAGAATGTCTCAGACAATGGGGAACAGAGGATGAGATGCTGGAAGAGGGACCATCATGGGAGGGCAAGCCCCTACATGGGATGTACCACCGGACCATAACTGAAGCGGCTGATCTCAAGAAATCCTATTAGTGGCTAGAGAGGGCTGGCCTGAAGGACAGCACAGAGGCACTCATCCTGGCTGTTCAGGAGCAGGCCCTGAGCACCAGAGCCATTGAGGCCCATATATACCACACCAGACAAGACCCAAGGTGTAGGTTGTGCAAAGAGGCACCTGAGATGATTCAACACATAACTGCAGAGTGTAAGATGCTGGCAGGGAAAGCCTACATGGAACGCCATAACCAGGTGGCTGGCATAGTCTACCGAAACATCTGTGCGGAGTATGGACTGGAAACCCCAAGGTCAAAATGGGAAACACCTCCGAAGGTGGTGGAGAATGACCAAGCGAAGATCCTGTGGGACTTCCAGATCCAGACTGACACGATGGTAATGGTGAACCAACCAGATATCGTGATCATAGATAAAGGGCAGAGGAAAGCCGTTGTAGTGGATGTAGCGGTCCCAAGTGATGGAAACATCAGAAAGAAGGAACACGAGAAACTAAAGAAATACCAAGGGCTCAGAGAGGAGCTGGAGGGAGTCTGGAAGGTAAAGGTGACAGTCGTGCCTGTGGTGGTCGGAGCACTCGGGGCAGTGACCCTCAAACTAGATGAGTGGTTGCAACAGATCCTGGGAACAACATCGGACATCTCAGTCCAGAAATGTGCAGTGCTGGGAACAGCAAGGATACTGCGCAGAACCCTCAAGCTTCCTGGCTTCCGATGGAGGACCCGAGCTGAATGTGGGACGGACACCACCCGAGGGGTGAGACAAGGATTTTTTTTTTTTTGTAAAATTCCTTTTTTTATTTGCTTTCATCACTATGACTTCTCATCTTCTTTACATCTCTACTTATAGTAGGATAATAGAATTACAATCAAGGAAGCATGATAACACTATCCTGTTGCAAAAATGAGAGTGGATTTTACCAAAGCATGAGCTATGCCCCCTCCCCACTCCCACCCCATCCCCTGGCCGATTCAGGTGTGAAGATCAGTTTGAATTGTTATTTTTTTTAACATAATAATTGTAATACAAAGTTATTTATGGGAAACAAATTACCAGTAGGTGGTAGTTGTGAAATTACAATAATAAAGGCATTTTTAACAGACAATGCAGTACTTACAGTCCTCGTGGTACAGTGTTTGTCCAAGATGATAGCAACCACTCCAGCCGTTATAAACTGGCCATGCGTACGCACAAACACAAATGCACGTGTATATATATATATATATATATATACACACACACACACACACACACACACACACACACACACACACAAATAAATTGGGTTGTGGTGACTAATCAAAAATGTTGTCATCACAAAAGTATTCCATAATACAGAATGCTGAGGTATCTGAGCAAAAAGGGTAAAAAACACTCACCACAAGGCCACTCCACCATGGCACACCCAGGTAAACCACCTCAGTGACATTGATGAAGTGCAGTGGAATAGAGTAGGACATGATCATCAGGCCCAGCATTATCTGACTCACCTATGACCATGCACAAAATATTTATCATGAAACATAATACAACACCAATCAATGCTGGTATCTTCTCACTTGCTACATTATTTCCACACAGAAACACAGTCACTACACCCCAAACTGGTAGCCAGCCAGTCGCAGGGCACATATGGAGACGGACAACCACTCGCTCCCACATCCACACCGTCACAGAGTGGGAACCGATCACACTCTGCCTGCACACAAGTCAAGCGAGTGAAATTTTATGCACATATCTACAACATGGCATGGCTCTTTTCCACAAAACAAGCAAGGGAATAGGCGGAGTTTCTCATTTCTAAGACATTTTGAATGTTTAAGAGCATTTAGAGATTTGATTCTCAAGCTATTTTCATCACTTCAAATTGGTTCATATTGTGTAAAAATCAGAGATGAAGTGGGGACAGACACATGGACGACTTATGGGGAAAATGGTCTGTCTTCGCAACCATCTGAAAATCACGACTGAGTCTTGTTTATTTTTTTTCTTGTTTATTTGAATTTTTTGCGGGGGGGGGGGGGGGTTAATGGAACACTCCCTAGGTGTGACTGTGAGCGCTGACGGTTGTCGACTGTTTAGCGCGTCAGCCTCACAGTGCAGAGGTGGAAGGTTCGTTTCTGGCTTTGGCCTTCCTGTGTGGAGTTTGCATGTTCTCCCCGGGCCTGGGTGGGTTTTCTCCGGGTACTCCGGTTTCCTCCCACATTCCAAAAACATGCATGGCAGGTTAATGGAACACTCTAAATTGTCCCTAGGTGTGAGTGTGAGCGCGGATGGTTGTTTGTCGATGTGTGCCCTGCGAATGGCTGGCAAGCAGTTCAGGGTGTACCCCGCCGACTGCCCAAAGACAGCTGGGATAGGCTCCAAGATGCCACGCAACCCTTGTGAGGGTAAGCAGATCATAAAATGGATGGATGGATGGATGGATGGATGGATGGATGTACCACTTTGTAATATAGGCTAACCATTGCTACAGGCATATAAAAAGCATGTGATTCATGTGTACAAACACAAACTTTAATTTACAATACACAGTTAGAATAGTAATATTGGGATTATTTGCATGGAGTCGGAACTCACCCCAATACATTTGGGTTGCCCACGCTGTTTTGCATCACGCACATTTTGCTGTCTCTCCGTTAGTTTAACTGTATTCAGATCCTCAAGCACCTGCACTGACAAATCCCTTGAGACAGCAACAGCCATCACCTAGAAAAGGGCAGCACAAAGTATCCAAGCATCTTTGGAAATACTGTTGTCGTTTTTGTGGAAATGTCCAAAATATAAATCTTACATGTCAAGATAAAAACAATATCACAACAGATCAAAACATGATTGAAATCTCAAAAGCTAAAGCTGTTTAAGTATGAGGAACATGAGGTGATCGGTTTGCACGTCAATTTGTGATAATAACACTGTAACATAGAAACGGGGGAGGGTGGGGTTGGGGATTGGAAGTTGTGGTTTATTATTGCACAATCGACGAGTGCATTTTGTTGGTCCAAATTCAAAATACAGTTTCACATTGGAAATACAGACCAAAGCAAGATAGAATATCCCCTACCTTTACTCTCGTTGAAGTTAAAAAATATAAAGAGAAATGTATATCGATATATATTTTAAAAAAAAACTCCGCGACGACACGAGAATTTCAGCTACGTTTCTCCTTAAAGCGGGCTCAAAAGCTATGTGCGCAAGAAGAAAAACAGCAGCAAGCTGTGACGTTGTTTCCTCGAAGCTCCGCCTCCACCACATTTCATGAACTTCCAGTGTTGTAATTTGCCTTCTGCATAACGTCGTTTTCCAGCGCGACGGACATTTTCCTGCTGTTCTCATCTGCACTCGTCCATTGTTTGAAGAGGTATGTTGAATTGCATTGCGCTTTCTCCTTTGACAGCCATCTGTTCAGTCCTAGACTTGGGTGCTTTCATGGAAGATCACATTTACGATTCGGCTGTTACGATGCTCACAAGTGACTTACTGATGCATACATGCCAGTTACTTTTCACAAACAACAACGTCTTTTATGCAGTAACGAGAAAATGGTGAATGACAAAACCATCAGCTGAGCGTCATCATTCTGCTTGTGGACAAGATATTACTGTTGAGAGGGGCGTGAGCCATCATTTCACATGTGTGCATGTATGTGTGTGTGTGTGTGTGTGTGTGTGTGTGTGTGTGTGTGTGTGTGTGTGGAAGATAGAGAGAGGGAGAGAGAGAGAGAGAGAGAGAGAGAGAGAGAGCTTGTGAATAAGGGTAACGTAATGACGACGTTGTTGCACAATCACGCATAGGGAGCTCCAAGTAAAAAGTGGACATTTCCCCACTCTATTTTCATCTCAAAATTAGGATACAGGATATGTATGCGCTAGTGATTTTTTAAAAAATTGCATACCCGTCAACCTCGGCTAATAGCTGCCCTCATAAATGATTACGATTCCCCTTACAAAGCAACAAAAAACCTTACAACGGATTACCGCGCATGCGCACATCATGCTTTATCGATCCTACCGTACGCAGTGATGAAAAAAAATATACGATTTCCGATTACTTTTGCTAGTTTGCCGTGACAATAGTAGCGATCGACGACGGCATTGTCTTTGGCGACCAGCAGGTGAGACGATCTGGATTTGAGCCAAAATGGTCTTTGTGAGATCAGTTCACAATTTTTTTTTCCCGTATAAAAGTTGTAATACACCGTACATGATTTGAAATGATGAAAAAAACGTATAAAATACGGGGAAAACGTACAAGTTGACAGGTATGAAATTGTAAGTAAAGCGGAATGGCGACATGACTGCGGTCAAGTCAGCCTCCACTCGCAAAATTGAAGTCAAGTGAATCGCCACTCCATTGTCAAAACTGTGCATTAAGGTATCTGCCCCCAGCCAGCGGCGTTGGCCACCTTCAAAATAAAAGCGCACAACTAATGCATGCATGTCAGAGGGTTGATTAAAAATCTTTATAAAGCAACGATAAATTCACCCAGGGAGAATAAAAACTCTCAGAAAAGTGCCAAGAAGCATTCTCAAGTTGAGATAGAAAATGGTCAATGGTAATTCTCCATCAATTTCACCTGAATTGAAATATATGATATATGCGTGTGTGTATGTGTGTGTGTGTGTGTGTCAAAATAAAAGCGCACAACTAATGCATGCATGTCAGAGGGTTGATTAAAAATCTTTATAAAGCAACGATAAATTCACCCAGGGAGAATAAAAACTCTCAGAAAAGTGCCAAGAAGCATTCTCAAGTTGAGATAGAAAATGGTCAATGGTAATTCTCCATCAATTTCACCTGAATTGAAATATATGATATATGCGTGTGTGTATGTGTGTGTGTGTGTGTGTGTGTGTGTGTGTGTGTGTGTGTGTGTGTGTGTGTGTGTGT